CTGGGGTTAGGTGGCTGCTGAACCCTTTCATCAAGGCTAAACTCTTAAGAACATCTGTGTTGATTTCACTGGTTGGATTTTGCCACTGGCCAGAACTGAAAATAGAGGTAGGTTAAATTATTCTTGAGTGTAGGGACTAGGATTTCCTTTGGCCTGGTCTCCACCGATTACCAAGCACCATACACCTTGTGACTGTGTAGGAAAAACTTAACTAGTAATGAAAATACTGGGAAAAAGAAGAGAATTTTATACGATCTGACCCGTCTCCCCTCCTCGCAACTTTTTAATGGGTAGTTGAGATTGGAACTATGCATAGGTATCTCCTTCTCCTCAATGTCCAGGCTCGCTCTACACTGTGTCGCTGCCTTCCCACCCTCCAGCCCTGGTGGGCTGGCCTGTGTGGACGCAGCAACAGGCTCCTGCTCTGGTTTCTGGCTGGGTTTGGCCGGTTCAGAGCCCCGCTAGAAAATCGGAGAGGGAAGAACAGCGGTCAGACATTTATTCCTCTGGCTCCCTCCCTCTTGTCAAGGTCACCTTGGCCAGGCTTTGTGTCCCCCAACTAAAGGTGACCTCGTAAGGGCACCTCTACCCAATTCTCTCCCGATTTTCGGTAATCACTCCCTTAACCTTGTTCCTTTGGACCGAATGGGTTAACTACCCCTGCGGTTTTCCTATACTCCACTCATGTTTGTAAGTGGTCTTTATTAAACCCTCCTCAAGTTGTGATTTGAGTGTGCCATCTGCTTCCTGTTGGCACTGTGATTGCTACAGTACTAGGTACCAGAAGCGGCCCCAGGAAACTGAGCCTGGGGTTAGGTGGCACATACATTTGGAGAGCACAAGGCTAATGTTACTGTGGAGGCAATGGGACATGAGTAAACTTGTATATGGTGGCGCCACAACAACTTAATCACAGTACAGTCAGAGGACAAGACTAATAGACAAAATGGCTGTGGCACTTCGTTGTTATGGCAAGTTGTGACTAAAGATTCGGCAGCCCTCTTCTGACAGCCCGGAGAAGGTACAAAAGAAGGAAAAAGTAAAAGTTATGAACATAAAAGTAAGACACGTAAAGAGCTAAGCGATCCTTCAAGGCAGCTTTGAATGAAGGGGTCTCATCTGTGCTCAGAGCAGTTGTGAGACCAGCCCAGGATTACCTGGGAGGGCTGCACAGCTAGCACCAATTAAATGCTCATTCCTGCTAGATCTCTGAGGGCATTAGTTAGGAAAGGAGATGATATTTGGGCTGAGAACTTCAATTTCCCTGGACCTCCATTGTCTGCAATGACAGAGCATACCGCACCCTACAGCCTCCAGCTCCATAACTGGAAGTAGATCCCAGCCTGCTCCAGGAGGAGAGCCTGGGAGTAGCTCTTAAGTGTGTTAGACCAATGGGGTCATAGATGGGAGTGGCTCTGCTCACTCTTACATCTAGTAACCACTTAGAGAATGTTTGCGTTCCATCCCAGTGACCTTGGACTCAGACTTGGACCCCTCCACGTTTTATGTAAAAAATTTTCAAATCTCTACAAAAGTTGAATGAATAGTAAAAGGAACACCTTTATAGGCTTCACCTATTTCATATTCTCTTTTGCCGAACTGTTTGAAAGTAAATTACAGATACATATATACATATATAAACATACATATATACATATATACACTCATATACATATATACATATATAAACCTACATATATATACACAATACACACATCTTTTTGGATGAACTATTTATTTGAAAATAAACGACATATTTCATTGCTAACTAGTATACATTTCTTAGGAATAAAGATATGTTAAAATAACACTTTTTAATGGAAAAACACCATATTTCCCCCCCCCCAAAATTAGAAGACTTACGTTATTTTATATATTACCAATCTCTTTAATAGTAGATAGCTGGATTCTCCTATCTGCTTCTGCAGATAATTTTTTTTATGATACGTCGATTGGGTTGAAGTATGTGTCACAGATATATGTCGTTGGAAAGAGGAGTAGTATTTTAATAGCCGCCTCCGATAATTGCGGTTAGTTTTTTATAACAATGACAAAACTTGACAAGTGCTATTTTCTTCAAGGTTAGTTGTGCTATGTAATTTTTCTTGAAAGCTTGAGTTCCACCATTGGCAGCAAATGCTGTCAGTTGTTTTCCTTGAAGTGGCTGGCTCAGTTTGTTCATTCCTGACAAATAACCTGTCAAATCCACATGTCTTCAGAATCATAGTTTGTCAGTCATTCTTGAAAGTAAAAATGGCGTTCCATGGAAGAAACGATAGTTCAGTTCACAATGCGAACAATTGTGCTTATGCTTTTCCTTGAGACAGTCATTGAACTTCAATATGCATTTCCCAAGAATAAAGACATTCTTCTACCTAACCTCACTATTACTACAACTTAGAAAAATTCAGCAATTTTACCTAATATTCAGTTTATATTTAAATTTCCCCATTGTCCCCCAAATGTTCTTTGTTTCTTCTCCTGACACACTATCTGATCAGGGTTTCTGCCCTTCATTTGGTTATTAGTCCCTTTCAATCTAGAATAATTATCTACTATTTTTGTTTTCTATAACACTGACTATTTAAAAAGCGTCCAAGTGTCTTGTAGCATGTCCCACATTCTGGATTTGTTTTCTCATGGCTCAATTCAGGTTAAATGTCTTTTATGAGGATACTGCGTAGGTGAGGTTCTGTGCTTATTGCCTCATGCTATAAGACATATCAGGCCAGGTGGCTTCACTCTGATCATTAGGTTAGTTAAGGTGGTGATTGCCAGATCTCTCCATTTTTTTTTTTTTAAGGATTCATGCCATAAGTTTATTTACAAACACATCTACTATGTTGAGTTCAACAGTTTGATCCATTTTTCAAAGTGACTGCAACTCTTAAAATGCTCCTCTTCATATCTGTTTCACGGATTAAGTAAAATGTTCTTATTTATTTTTTTCCTTTTTTAAAGGTTTTTATTGGAGAATTGGGGGAAGGGGAACAGACAAGTTGCTGACCTTTTTTTCTTCAGTCTAGTTGTGGAGGACGTTGCTTCACTGGCCCAAGTTGGCACGATCATTGCGCTCTTTCCAGGCGAGGCATATCAGTCGCCGGCTTCTGGACGGCCGTTCACTGTGGCTGCTGGCCGCTCATGCTGGCTGCTGGCTACACACGGTAGCCCATGGCAACCTACTGCCACAGGGGCTGCAGCCTACGTCATCGCAGGCGACTCACCGCAGCCCAGCTCCAGGTTGAGCTGTTATTCAGCATCTTAGCTATAGAGGGCAGTGTCACTGGCCCTCATATGTGGGATCTGAACCAGGGCCCTCTGGCGTCCCAAGCCAGCTCTTAACCATCGCACCACTCGGCCGGCCCTCCTTATTTCTTAAGCAATTGGTGTCTTAC